AAATGTATTTTCTTTAAATAATATTGTTGATCTTGAAATAGTAAAAACAACGACCTACAAAAAATAATAATGAAAAAGTAATAATGACACTTCGTTGAATAGTTTTTCTTACTATATGTTTTTTAAACATACTCTAAACCTAAAAACTCACCCAGTTCTGGATCAGCAAATATTCCGTTGGCCTTGATGATCAAATCCCTAATCTTTGGTTTCGAATCAATATTCTTGAGGCGGAAATAACGGTGGCCATCCTTCTCGTAGATCTCGCCATCGGTGACCGTTGTGGCCTCCACATCCACTGCAAGCGGAATGATAAGTAATCACCCAGAGAGGCGATTCAGTATACTCACATAGCGTTACATTAAAATCCCCCTTGGGCTTCAGTTGCAGCTGATTCACCACCATGTCGGCCTTATAGCTACCCACAATATTCATTTTGGGCATTTTGGTGACCAGGCGCAGTTTCACCTTGTCCCCGTTGAGTTTGACGGACACCTCTTTGGCCCGATTGGAGGCGAATCCATAGATCTTGGCATTGCGAACGGTAATACGACCGTTGACATTGCCACTGGAGTACTGGAAGCTAGTTCGGTTGAGGATCAAGGGTTCGTAGGGTTCGATCCTCAGCTCGGGATTGCCGTCCTTGAGACGGGGCGTTAACGTATTGAATATCTCCTTGACGCAATCCCCCAGCTGGTCCTCGTCCGTCGAGCATTTTGGCAGATCTTCAATGTTAGGATAATGTTATAGAAAAATAAACTTGAAAACAGTTTAAAATATATACCTGAGAAGTAATTTTTGTCCGTGGGGGCTGAACTGACTCCAATGGCCAGCAGGCACAGCAATCCAATAATGTAATGCATTCTGAGTTCTGTTCTACACTACGAAACTATATCCTTTTTTGGGGCTCGAGCTCGACTATAAACCAACTGCTAGAACGTTAAACAACAACTGAACCTCCCAGACTCCGAGTCGAACTATTTTATTCTCAAAATTAGCACACCGATGCACATTGCAAGTCAGAGACTAGTTTAGTACATTTTACTTGTAAATCAGTAAAACATTAGCCGACGAGCAGCTAGACTTTGACTGAACGCAAAACCGGCTCCGTCTGCCTGATTTATAATGTCGTATTATTAAATGGAAAAATACATTGAAGGTATAATAGTAAATGGCAACGATGATTTGCCATAAATTCTTTTTTAATAATTACCCTGTACGTATACTAATAATGGGCTTCTTAGTTTGGCGATTTGGCGATTGGAACAACCGTAGAAGGGCTGCCAAATCGAGCCTAAAGATAGTTCCTCATTAAGTGAGTCATACTATTAGTTAGTAGTTAGTTATACTATGAACCTTGCAGTCTATTCAAAGCAGAAAGTTAAATAAGCTCTAGTAGATTGAGGAGACTAAGTTACTTATAGTTCGTTTTATGATTACGCTCCACAGTAAGTACAATATAATGCCCATTGAAGAGTTATATAAACACTATATTTTATTGAATAATTACTTTATGGATCTCAGCTGGAGCCCTAGTTCATTTCCTAACAATAAATCAAATTTTTAACGAGAGATCAAAGTTTTTCTATACTTCTACTAATCAATCTAATGTATTACACATTATATGACTATAATCACTTTATTATTTTTAAAAATCAACATACAATATTCTAGACGTTAAAACTTCACTCAACCACGTGAAAATTGTTAAGGGTAACTGAAACAATCAGTTATATGATGATTTAAATCAAAGAAATATTTTCTGCAAAATTATACATATCCCAAAAAACTGACAACATCCATTAGATAACGATATATTATAAAATCTTTCTCCAATTTAGTATTTTAATAATCACACTCTAACAAATATTTAAGTATTTCAATATTTATTTCTGTAAAAACTATGTTAACACCTTGAGTAGAAAAGATGGAACCGGAGGGTATAAATAATGTAACAATTATAAAGTCAGGAATCTCAATTCTTGGTAACAAGCATATCGAATGGTAACGCAGCGAAGAAGTCATTTGTGGACTTCAAGATCAGGGGCTGCCAGGCGGCCAATGTCTCGGGAAGCATGGCCTGATAAAGTTGGCGCCAGTACTGATTGATAAAGTCCAGGATGACGTCGTCTAAACGGAAACAATGTTATTAATGCGATCAATAATTATGGTTTATTAGCTGACACTTACTAAGAACCGGATCGGGAACTAGTCCATTGGCGTAGAATTTCAGGTCACCCACCTTGGGCTCAGTCTCCAGTTTAGTCAGACGCAGATAGGTGTGACCATCACGCTCATAAAGCTCGCCAATGGGTCTCGCCCTCATCGCGACATCAGCTGGGGGAAAAAAAGCAATAATAATTATTAAAACGAATTAAAAACTTTTTATAAGATTTTCTCTATTCAGCCAAAATGTTTTAAAATGGTGAAATATTTTCTACACCTAAAGGTATTACTGGCTTTATATATTCGATATCCAATTTAATCTTGCTATGTTCATCTGCTAAACGCTTTATTACATATGGATCTATGGATAAATTATACAGTAATTCGCATAAATATTAAACTATCTCCTTTTCTTTTTTTTGAAAGAAATAGATGGACGCATACAACTAAATAAATAGGTATTTTTCCTTACAAACTTTTATAATCAGATAGTTAATTACTAATACTTATCATAGTATATGTAAAATTGTATAACCACTTTTGGTCGTTTTTTAATTGTTTATTTAAATGAGCCCAGAAACTAATTAATAAATAATTTTGTGGAGTAACAAAAACGTGTAGTGACTCGCAGAAGGGTGAAGATATACAAAAGATATTTTTAAGATGTGGGTTCTTCTAAGTTACTTACTCATGGTTACGTTAAAGGTGCCCTTTGGGTTCAACTTAAGATCGTTGAGCTTTATGTCCGCCTTGTACGAGCCCTCGACGAACAATTGGGGAACATGCGAGAGAATCTCCATGCGCACGCGACCTTCCTTCAGCCGGAAGTTGACCTTATCGACGATTCCCTCGCTGAGGCCGTGGACGACCACGTTCTTCATGGAGATGCGTCCCTGGAGGAGTCCCGAGTTGTAGCTATAGGAGCTCTTGCCCATCTCGAAGGGATCGAGGGGCGGGATGTTCAGTTCGCTGATGCCGTACTTCATGCGTGGCGTTATCTGCTGAAGGCCCTGTTTGATGCACTCGCTGATGTTGATATCTTCCTCCCGACAGGTCGGTATATCGCCAGCTGCCGAATGCCAAACAAATTAAATTAGTGCTTACGAACCTTGACATATTTGGTTCAGCATAAACGTTAGTCATATCGCGTACGATCGATGTGCCTATGCTCAGAACGTGACATTTTTCTAGCTAGAAAATGAGAATATTCAGTTTCGTTGCTCACATAATTGTCAACGTCATGCGCAATTTATTTGATGATTAGATTTGATTTTGTCACTGAGTTGAGCAAAAAATCCTGTATATAATTAAAAGAGTTTTGTACTGTCGTCTCAAGATCGTTTCGGTTTGAATACGCCGACAACTAAAACTTTTCCCATTGGTCTACCTTGGGAGAAGGCCATCAGCGGAAGTGACAAATCCGGACAAAAGACTGAAGCAGCAAACTTGTGTTTTATTTTTATATTCCCCCCATTAAAAAGTTATATTTATATCTAAAACAGCATATGACTCGGCCAGAAAAGAACGTATAAAAATAGCATGTACAATTGTTGTTCCGGCAATAAGGTAATTTAAAAGGCTTTGTATTGCCACAAGTTTTATTTTTTGGCCAAAACTGTATGAAGACAGTACTTATCAGCATGACAATCCACGTTTTACGTTTGTCATGGTCTAAATTGTCTGACCACGTTCGAATCAGTACGCAAAACAAAATGATATTTAAGATGGATGTAATCTTATTTAATTTATATCAAATATCTTAAGGTAAAAATATTCACATTGTATTTTTAAAAAAGTTATAGGTCTTGCTCAATTAAAATTTTTTAATTGAAAAAGTCGAATCCCCAAATGGAGCCTAATATTATTCTGCTGTCAAGTGATGAATATTAATACCGATTTTATGTATGTTATTTACATATTTCATCTTCGGGTATGGTTTTTTATTATTTACAGATTTCTTTCAAGTATGGGTTTTATTAACCATTAAACAATCACTAATAAGGTGTGTCATTTCATTTACAATTTAACCCAAAAGCAGAATTTTCTTTTTAACTTTTTGCACTTTTTTAAACGTTGTGCAATGCTATTGTTTTAATGAAATCTGGGCTTGAACTTTTGACTGTCAGATAGTTAAATTGCTTTGTTATAAAATTCACACAAAGTGGCGTGCTTCACATGATTATTGCTATCACGAAGTCAATTTAGTATATCTGAAATTTTCTATTTAGCTGATAATATCACAAATTAAACGACTACATCCCAAGATACTAACAGTACTAACTACTAAAGTGTCAAATTATGAATTTGTATTTATAAAATTGTTCAAATTTACGCTTTTAAAAGGTTTTTACATTTTTTAACCTTAAGTATGTTATAATTTAAACAATGAATGTTTTGTAAACGTAATAAATGTTTATTATTTGTGTTGATCCACTAGAATGTTATTAGAACATGTTTCAGGCACACGAATAAGTTTATTTTACATTTTTTAATTTAAAGGCACTCACGTATTTCTCGAACCGGCTTGAACTCCACTGGAGGCAACTCAATTTCTGTTGCCACGCATAAGCCAGAAATTAAAATTAAAACAAGAGCACACAAGATTCTAGCCATTTTTATAATACTTTTTTGAAATTTATTTTAATATTTTATTGACTTTTTGGTTAGGTGAAATTTTTAACGAGCTGGCAGTTAGTCGAATCTGGCCGATGCAAATGCGAGTCAACGTCTGAGAGCTACGATGGGCGCCGGGCTTTTATTTATGGGAAGAAAACAAAACAAATCCAATCAAATCGAAATTGCAAAGCCAAACACAAAATAAAAAGAGGCACTCAAACACAGATGCTCGGCATTAGCAAATAATAGGGATTTGGGGGCGGAGCGGAGGGCGGAAAACAAAAATAGCTTGGAACTAATGACGACGACGTCGCCGTCGCAGTTGTAGAAAACAAAGCAAATGCAAAAGTCAATAGACAGTAGTGAAATACAAACGACATTATTAAATTCCCGGGTAGAGTCGTGAAGTGGAAGCCACCCAGCCATCCGATTTGACTTATCGCGACCCCAGTGCGACCCGACTTACCCATCATGAAACAATACGCCTGCACTACCGGCAGCTGTCCCAAGCGATCCATACGATCCGAGCCGCTTTTGATGTTTAATCGTCTTGGGGACGGTGATTTGCTGATGACTCGGTAGTGTGTCCAGATCTTGGTCCCGATTCCCTCCCAACCGGGTAATTAAAACAGGCCACTCTATTATCTGACTCCGACACTTAAGCTTATGGCCATTTGGGATGCAACGTGTAGAAGCATATAATTAATCATTTCTAAACTGAGCTAGGTACTTACACCAACTTTAAAACGGTCCCGACATTTCGCCCGTTTATTTAGAAAGTCAGTAAAAAATGGGCCAAAGGCGATAAGCCGGTGGATTTAGAAAAGCGTTCTAAAAAACTCTTTTGCAATTTAGGGAGCATTTTTTTAAACTGAAAGATTGTTCAGCGTTTAGGGTGTGTTGCCCTAAGTGGAAAGGCTAAAATGATAGCATAAAGCTGTCAGAAGAGGATAATTTTTATAAAAAAAAAAGAAAGGTTTGGTCCAAAATTTGATAAAGGATGCATTTCCTAATCGCATTCTATTTTCTAGGATATGACTGAACTGTTTTCAGATTATTTAATTCAATTTATTTATGCCATATATGAAGCTAACGTTAAAAGAGGCCGATCTGTGCAGCACCGTTTAAACCAAAAAACCATCGTTTATAACTGATTTAGATAATAAATATGAGGGTAAAAAAATAGGATCAACAAATTTCAGGACATACTCCGTTTAAAAAAGAACATTGTTCTTCCTGGTTTTTGGTGTATATATACCGTTCACCGTACCTTCATTTCAATCATCTTTAATATAGTATACAAAAAACTGTAGGCTTTTCTCCGATCACTTTATATACACACCCCCAACTAATTAATGTAAATATAAATCAAACATTAGAAGTCAACGGGAGACGTGTTAAAAGCTACATATAAGTTAATAATGCTAATTCTGGGTTTTTGCGCCTTACAACAATATTTGATGAGCTTGATTTGTGGATATTTAGTCACGTGTGCTTAAGAAGGTAGAATTAAGTGGCAGAATTGAGTCATTTGTATTGGATGTTTAGAAACTGGTTAGTACGCAATAATTTCATGAGCAAGCTTTATAAAGTACATCACAAAATGATGTACTTTAAATGATAGCTAAACAGTAATTTGGCTAAGAAACCCAATCTTATATATTTAAGGAACAGTTTCCCAATCAAGATAATTTTACAGAACACGTCTTGGTCAGTTTATCACTATACCTGGCACAGGACAGATAAACGAAGCTTATCAGTAGACGTAGACTGCCCAACAGTTTTTAACCTTTTGCAACCCAAAATAGAAGTCATGTTATCAACATCTTAAGCACTAAACTGCAAACCCAAAAATGGCACTGTCAGTTCCAGGAATCGATATCTTAAAAAAGGAACCAGCCGGAGAACAATAGATCAGTGCCACACACACCTTATCAATAGAAGAGCACAAAAGGAGTTGGACAAATGAGGCCGCAAAATACTTTAGGAAAGAGCCCAATTGAACAAGAGCAACCGAAAAACAAACCCATGACTTTGGACAAAGGCGGCGACATTGAAAAATGCTAAAGATAATAGTTTTCAAAGAGGAACAAACACAAATTGAATGAACCAGGCAATCGATGGGCGCGCATTTCGCCACCTACCGCCCCGGGGGATTTGGATTGTATTGTATCTCCAATTTCGAAGATCCGAACTGGACGCACGCAAGAATAAACATGACTGACAGATAGGGATGCCTGACGGGTGGGCTTATGAGTAGGTAAGGGTAAAAATTGGATGGGGTGGCGTGTACGCGTGCGCAGGCAAATCAAGCGGTTTTATGATCTTGTTTTCGTTTTGCAAAAAGGAAATTCGGCGTCGATTTGTGTAAACAAAGTTATAAAATTTGTGGGGGGATTATGTGAATAGCAAGATAAGGCTTTCTCAATATAAACTAGTGAAGCCGGCCACAGGACAGCAGTCATTCTAGAGACTTCGAGAAGAGCACATATCATCTTATCATACTCATAACATGGAGAGCCATCAGATCTATCGCCACAAAAAATTCGATGTCGGTCGAAAAGTTGAGGAACTCGAGTTGCTCCTCAAGGAAGAGCTAATCTCCCGAAGCGGCACACCCTGCACCAGTCGTAGTGCTTCCGATGAAGCCGATCAGTCCATCAGTCTGGGATTCAGTGAGGATACTGAATATCCCCCACTGCCAAAGCGCCGTCGTTTGGGTTCCTCATCCTCCAGCGTTTCTTACCACTCACCCAGTCCAATCATAACCGAGGCCATCCAAGACATCTTCAAGTACCACGTCAACATGGTGCGAAAGTTTCCCAAGAAGGAGCGCACGCCGAAGGATCACGAGCGCCGCAACAAGAACACAATTGCCTGCAGGATGAGTCGGCGGAAGAAGAAGTTCGATGACCTGCAGATCGAACAGCAGTACAAGGAGTGCTCTTCCGAACACCTCAAGATCGCCGAGCAGAGCCTGCGAGCCAGGGTATATCTGAATCACCTGAAGCAGCTGGTCAAGCAGGAGGATCACCCGCTGCCATCTCCAAGGAGAACCCCGGAAGAAAATCCCAAGAGAAACTTTACCATCGACTACCTGATTGGTGGCATTAAGCAGGAGAACGTTTAGCCACACCCATCCTCCTGTGGAGATTGTATTATATAATTAAGCAATACGTTGTTAAGTTTCTTCAAGAATCTAAAAGCTAAATTATTTTTAAGAGCCCTTTAAGGATAAGCAGGTACTTCATAAAAAATAAAGTTAATTATGTACTTAAAAGAAAACTATAGGTGTTTGATATTTCCTCAAAAAACGTTTGGTAATATCAACCAAACCTCCGTGACAAAAAACGGCACCGTCATAGGTCAGTAGCTTAACGACTTCCATAGCTAAAGTTATAAAGCCGAGAAGAGCTCAATTGAGGTTCACGGTTGATCACATTTTGTTATGCTTTTACGTGATCATGTGAAATTTTATTTAAACCTACCTACCTAGTTTTCCTGTTTTAAAGATTTATATGGCCTATCGTAAACTATTTAAAATTATTTTAATACGCTTGAATCTTGAATATTGACAGGCCTTGATTTGTGATATTACTTATTACCAGACCATGTATAATTCATGAAATAATTTTTTAACCAGTTATCTAGAGCCGTAATTGGATTAAGGATTAAATTATTTATGTTATTTGTATGTCAATAATCAATTACTGGATTCCGAATATTACATAAATGATTTAACATATAATACAACGTTTTTTTATAACATTCTCCCAAAATTATTTGTAACATACAGAAATGAAGAACTGCACTAAATATGGTAAGGGTAATGGCATCAGGACCATATTATATTTACATATCATCTGGATCAACCGCTAGTTGGCCATATCGACCCGTAGCATAGATCTTATGCTCGTCCAGCAGAGCGAAAAAGAATGGATGTGAAGCGTAGAAGTGGTTCCGTGTCTCACCATTATGTATCACTCGGCTTTTTGCTGAAATGAAAGTAAATGGGTTGTTAGGTAGTTACATAAAATTCTTTAAGCCAATGATTACCCATACTTTTATTTCTCCGAACATTAATGCCGTGCTCGTTCAGTGTGAAGTAGGTCAAATGTGGGAATCGGCGCACCCAAAGTCGCTCTTTTTGCCCTGTTATACGGCTGAGATCGGCATTTTTGGGGTTGAAAGCCTGGCGAATGCCGAGTAAGCCCAGATTGTCGGCCAGCTCCAGATTGGTGACGATCTTCATCACAGGCAGACGAATATCGTACCGGTTGGTATCCATCTTCACGCCGAGCAAGCCCCGCAGATCCACGAATTCCAGTTCCTTTTCGAGCTGTCGTAATCCGTTGATAAGATCCGGCAGGAGGACCATGAACTGGACCCGACTATCCTTCAGTGGGAGCAGCAGCATGGTGGCCCTCAGACCATGAAGATGGGCCACCTGGCGCCTCTTTGCCAGGCTGTAGAGTGTGTCCACATAGGTTCGTCGTCGCTCGTCCACATTGAACTCCCTCATCCGCCGGTTCTCGATGTGGAAATCTGCATCCGCCCACACGGCCTTAAAGGAAGCTGCTGTCACAATGAAGACCTCAGGCTGCAGACGCAGCCTAAAGGGTATATCATCCGAAGAAGGGGAGTCCGTCAGCTTCTTACTGATAGCCGTTAACTTATCCGAGAGTCTTTCCATCGTGCCATTGTCAAAAGAGGGCACCAGATCCACGTCCATGTCGCGAATCTTCTCCTCATATTCCGGCCTTATCTTCAGTTGAGGTGGTATATAGACGCCTATGTAACTGAACTCGTTGAACTTATCCGAGACTGGTTTCAGATTCCGGGGATCTGTATAGGCTAATTGATTGGGATCCGTAGATTGGGAGGGCATAGTCATGGCTTCCCGTACCTCATCCGCCGTGGGGCCATTGGAACTGGCCAGTAGAGCACCAAAGGCTAAGCGCACAGGGTCATGGGCGATCATCAGACCTTCAGGCAGATCATTATTGGTCACCCCGTCCACAATAGCCCTATGAAGCATCGTGGGATATTGACGGAGTGGCCAGCCAGCCGGGTAAGGTTCACTGGGAATTAACCCTTCGCCCTGGCCCAACCACTGGAACACCAATAAGCCGATCGAAACCGCAACTACGGGAATGTGAATGTGTGGGCTTTAAAGTTTACTTCTCCTATTCCCGTCCATCACTCACCTGTCATCGTCGCACTTAAAGTTAAACTAACTAAGCGCTTTAGCTAGATGCAGCTACATTTTAAAATCCATACTAATCGAATTGGTCACGCTAAAGGCTGTGCCTTGTAATGGAAAATTTTAATTTATTACTTCGTAAGAAAAAGAATTATAGTACTCCATTGATTTAATCCTATTAGATCGCTTAATTTGTTTAGGAAAAATCAAGAATCTTAAATCTGTACTGTATTTATATAATCGCAAAATAATTTGATTAATTATTTAATTAAACGGGCTATATTTTATTCTAAAAAAAATTTTTGTTTCGATCGACATATTATATTTCAAAAAACTAAATTATCAATTGTCTGCGTCCTTGTAGTTGATATTTTGGTAATTATTGGTAATAACAGTTTTAATGATTGTTACCCAAAAACATAACTATAACAATGCTTTAATGCCCATTAAACTTTAATAACACTTCAAACGAAACAATAAATTTTGTATACTCCCAAAGGTTTCCCCTTAATCAACGTGCCTCATGGCCACCTGTGGAGGCGTTGGTGTCAACATCACTGGCACTATTGGCCGGCATACCACTGCCACTCTGTCCCTGGCCCATCAAGTCATCCTCGCTCATTCCATTCTCCGACAGAGCATCCTGCTCCCCTAACAAAGGAGGTTCCAAGTCCTTGACCATATTCAGATAGGTCTGGTTCTCGGCATCTGTAAATATTTTGAAGGGTTCGCCCTTGCCCACAATGGCCACATTAATGGTGAGGTTTTCGGTATCACCGTGGCCCAAAGATCCCCGAATGGCCTGTATTCCGTGACAGATCAGCTCATCCCTGCCGCAGCCCTCGAAACTCTCCATGTTCCGCTCCAAGTAGGTGCGCGCACTCTGCGATCGGGATCCAATGGCCATGGCCTTGCAACTGAAGACATTGGCTGTCGGCATTACCTGGTAAATGTGGGGTCCCTGCTCATCGTAGCCGGCCACCAGCATGCCCACTCCATAGGGCCGACGATCGTATCGCTGGGTGGTGGCCTGCATCTTGTTGCCCAGATTGGCAACCAAACGGCGGACCGGAAACTCCGAGTCGTAGGAGTGCCGGAAGGCCATGCACTCCGTCCGCATGTACTGGCACACCTGGCGAGCATCTGCCGTCAGTCCGGCGATGGACATGCCCACGTGCGAGTCCACCGGCATGATCTTCCTCTGGAGCGTGTCCGTGTCCTTGGTATTGCGGCACAGGGCGATGAGCGCCGCATAGTCAGCGCTCTTCAGTCCCACGGTGGCCGCTCCCTGCTTCACCGCCTCCATGGCGTACTCCACCTGGAAGAGACGACCCTGTGGACTCCACACCGTCGTATCGCTGTCGTACTGATTCCGAAACATCCTGCAGAAAGGGGTTTGAACTTGGAAATAATGCTTGAAATTAAATGATTTCTCTAGGTTATGATAGATGTTGATTTATTTGCCTTGAGTTGAAAAAATGTGAATACTAACTGATTGCTTTATTCTTAGTTGTTGTTTAGACTGTATACAATATTTAACTAAAGACACATAATATGTTCTTAGGCCATTAAGACTAGGATTTACAAACCGAGTTTCTAAAAAACAAAAACTAAAGTGGTGTTGCTATATTATAAGATATTTTTTCGATAGAGTATCCAAATAAATATTTTTGTAATCTTGCACTGATTACTTACTTGCTGGGTCCAAAGCTATGATCCCTTTTTGATAAAAATGTTTGATTAATAGTAATAACTTTAAGTGTGTAAAACATTCACACAAATATAAGATTAATACGATTAACTTGGAACGTTAGAAAGTTTTCCACAATATGAGTTCGTATTACACTATTTGATTAGCTTATACTTATATTACCTGTGATCTTTAAAATATTACTTATTTATTTCAATTTACCAATTTTTTTAATAATGTTAAAGAACAAGGTCATACAAAAGTAAAATTAAATTCATAGTACGAAACTGACTTTTAAGCTTAAAGTGCTTTCACTCTTCTTAACAGCAAAGGCACTCAGGCAACCCAACTTGCATAATGCCTAACGAAGTAGAAAATCAACGGTCTATAAGGAAGTTCAGGTGATCAGATGGAGAAAAGCATAAAGGCATGGACAAAACTTATGTTCAGCTTTGAGTGCACCCGCCAAAAGTGCAGCCAACTGAATCTGGCTGTGAGTGGAAAAAGAGCTTTACTTATAATTCGAGTATTCATGCTGCAGGGGAAGTCCCCTCCACGTAATTAGCTCTTTTGGGATTGCGCAATCGGTGCGAGTGCAGTTAATTACTTTTAATTTTCATTGATAATACTTGGCAGCCGTCCGACTTCCTATGGCGGAAAATCCAAGTGCAGAAAATTTCCGTCGCGGCCGCAGCAACCCAGTAAACCACTTTGCACTTGTACCATGCTGCCAACATCAATTTTAAGTTAATTGTCAAGTTTTTGGTGGGTCTTTTTGCGGCTTTGGCTGGCTTAACATTGAAAATTGCATTTCTGCGGCTTGAGTTTTGCAACCGTAGCCCAATTGAACTTGAAGCTTTAGCGCACTCGAAAATCTCTGGCCGGACTTTGGCCACATCTAGTGGGTATTATCCACACAGCCGATCTCTGTCAATATTTGAGGCCCGCTGGCAAAAGCTCGGCCAACTCTAAATATTGTTCTTTGTGCGGGCTTGAACCTTGACGAAAGCTGTCGCGAAATGAGAACGCCATGAAAATTAGTTGGCCAACAATTAGTTGAACTTTGCTGGGTAATGGGTTTTGATAAATGGTTTCTGGGAAAAATCTTAAAATGGATAGGGGAGTCATTTATTTATGGGAATTTTTTAAGAAGGTTTAAGTGCCTAATGATTTAATATAAGCAAAATAAGTTGACGTGGCACAGTCAACTTAAACTAAAAATAAAACAGCTGTGTCTCAGAATTTTTATTTCTTTAAATTGTATAATATCATTGTAATATAATTTAAAATTCCTTACAGGAAATGTCTTTTAGGCCATTATCTTAAAATTGGTTTCAGTTGCCACAGACAAATTAAAAGTAGCGGTTTGCCTTTCGAAAATAATAAAAATGTATTTAGATCTAACATTTCAAAATCATTAAAAAGTGTTTTGAAGGCAAAGTAAATTTTTCTTCTTCCAGTCTAATAAAAATATTAAAATCACAAGCCTTGCACCTTTTAAATAGAAATCTGTATTTCAAAGTATAAATATAATATCGCCTGGTATTTAAAATATCTTTTGATCTTGATCCCCATCGTGAAACCCCATCCATTGAAGTCGACAAACTGATAATTTGAATTAAAGGCTTAATTTTTTATTTCAAAGTCAACAATAAATATTAAAACCTAAAGCTTAATAAACTAGATCACATGATTGGGTTATCCATAGTCTCTGAGTATGATAAGATATAATAAAATTGGCGGCTTCAGTGCTGACCACCAAAGATGAGCATTTGCTGGGAGAGGGCCATCTGCTGGAGGAACTGCTGTTGCTGTTGGGGCAGGAGATGTGCTGGCGAGGGGTTGATGGCTTGCTGGAAGACCGCCTGCTGGAGGATCTGGCGGTAGTAGAGGCTCAGGCGGACCTGCTGCTCCAGCATGGCGGCATGGTGACTCCGGTACTGCTCGTACTGCTGACTCATCCGCTCCTCCTGAGCCTGCTTGGCTCGTCGGCTAAAGAGGCAGGCGAGGGTGTTCCGATCCCGGCGCATCTGCTCCTTGGGGCTTCGCTGGCGTTGGGCCTGGGTGCGTCGTACCATGTTGGCATGGTACTGGCTGACTGAGGATCCTGGAACTACTGTTGGTTTCTCCACTGGTGCCACCGCCTCCTTCTCCTGGTTCTGTTCGTTATCCAGCCAGGGGCGGAAGAATCCCTGATTCTGGCGACGCTTGGTAATCGGCTGCTCCGACTGCTGGTTAAAGTTCTCCTTGTCCTGGTCCAAATCCCTCTTCCGCTTGCTGACGACAAACTTCTTGTGGGCGTAACTGACTGTGTTCTCCATTTTTATATTGGTTATGGTTGAAGTCCAATAATATTGCTATGGTGTGACTCGTTAGACGATCGTTTGCTGAATGATGAACTGTGAGATTGATATCCTGTTTATATGCACAAAAAGGTAATAGGTGGAAAACACAGGTAGCCCAAAAAGGGAAATCCATTTGTTTTGGGACTGTCAACAAAGGGATTAGCGCATCCCGCATTCCCAGTTAGGTAATCGTCCTTCTGGATTAAGCAGTATTTTATGACCTGTTCTATCACTGCGCTAATTGCCGTCGCAGCATTGCCTCATTATCCTTTTTTTTGTGGATTACCTGGATTATCGGACAAATGTTGCCACCGGAACAGGAAAATTCTGGACTGAACAACTGTTATGCAGACTAAGGATTTTTTATTGACCTGCATGACACAATTTGTTGTGCGTGTGGTCCCTTGGCTCCTAGTTCGCCACCATACTTTGTTTTAATTCCCTGGAAATTCTCGAGGGTCTTTTTGCAAACACTTTTCTTGAAGAATGATATAACAGAAAATTACCTGATCACTGGTTAGGGTATGTCTCTGAAAGGATACGCAGTTCTGCCAGATGTGATCTACGATTATGGAAAAGGAATTGTGTTAATGGAAATCGGCTGGTCAGAGGTAATTGGACTGGGTTATAAAAATCCTAATCGAATACTTATTTTATGAGTGATATTAATAATACTTTTTGAATTTAAGATATTGCACTTTTGTGGCCTTTATAAGTTAATATTTAGTATTAAATGTTTAAATAATAATGAGGAAAACCGCAAAATCAAAGCCAATAGGATGATTTAATTTTTGTGTAACCGTAAAGGCGGATCTTATTGTCACAACCTTTTAATTATTTTTAGCACATTAGTTGGATGGTTATGCGGATTTGATTATAAAATAACTAATTGAAATAAATAGTTTATTTATTCCGTAATTCCTATTATGTCACTTGAGTTATCTATTCAAACGCCCCGAGCATGAATCGCAGGCAGTGCTTTATGTGTATTTACTTTAATTTAGCATTGCAAATTACTCTTCCCGGGAACTGATTGTGTAATACATTTTGAATTGATTAACGAAAGTGTCCCCAATAAAATAACGTTGATTTGTATGTAGCTTCCGGTAATTTTGGTCAAGAATTAATTTGCATTAAACAATTGTCTATAATACCACGAGGAAAAGGCAATTAAAATGTTCAATAAGAATATATCATCTTTAAAATAATTAATATTTATATTATATAATTTTAGTTAGATTGGTTCAAAAAATAATCTACAATAAACATACAAAATAATTGAGAAACTTTGCACCTTTAATAGTAGAAATCGGATTTGTCCTGTTCAAATAGGTCGAAATATGCTAAGCATATTTCTTAATATTTTTTGACCTGAAAGAAGGGATATTTCTGATATGACAACATTTTTTTGAAAAGTTCTACTTTTATAAGCCTTTTTATAAAATTTTAGATTTTACAGACCACAAAAAAATCTTTAAAAAACAAAAGCAGATTTAGTACAAATTGGAAATTATATATTTTACAAAAGTTACTTTAATTTGATTACATTGTGTTCACTATGACGACTTTGAGCTGGTTTTGCTGTTTTTACCTTATTAATTGCTTACATGTTAAACATGTTAATTTTCTCTATGTACTTTCTGGCACATACTTAAATTCGTCGAATACTGCATATTGGTCGCATATTTTTTATGCGACGTAAAGCTGAATTCTTTTAGTTACAAAAGTTTAAAAGTGTAAACAGTCTTTGCCTTGTCGATGATAACTTACTTTCAAGTTCTAAAAACCTTTTGTAAGTCAGAATGTGGGCGGAATCTAAAAGAACTGAGGAAACATCCCATCCAATAAAAATGTCCAATGATTTAGATAACAATTTTTGTGTTTATTGTTTAGTCAACGAATTAAATAAATACAACTTTCAAAGTGATCACAATGCTATACGACTAGGTTACAATAATTTAAAGCGCGTGGACAGCGCCTGGTCGGGGTTCTACGATAATGTCCACCCTTCAAGGATGCTGGGTGGTGGTCTGTTGGGGCGGGATCATCTGCTTTGGCTGTGTGGGAGGCAGAGGCTGCATGGAAGCCATCGATTGCTGCAGGAAGCGCACGTAGTAGAGGCTCAGGCGAATCTGCTGCTGCAGATGGGCCTCGTGCTGGATACGGCTGGTCAAGTACTGCTGTTCGATGAGCTGCTGCTGTTGCTGCTGGGAGCGACGGTGGCGCAGGCTGGCCAAGGTGTTCCGATCCCGACGCAGTTGCTCCTGGGGGCTGCGTTGGCGGCGCTTGTGATGGTTGCGCACCATGTTGGCGTGATAGGTGGCATCTGGTGGTGGTGTTGCTCTGGCCTCAATCTTGCGAGGCGGCTGTGGCTGCTCCTTCTCGGCGGACTCATCCGTCCAGGGACGGAAGAAGCGACGCTTCGGCTGTGGCTGCTCCGGAGTCCGCTGGCCCGGCTGCTCCATGATGAAGACCACATCGTCATCGGAGTCCGCATCCTGGCTGCGCTTTCGCTTCAGGGCTCCAGTGAATTTCTTGTGGCTATAGTTCTCCATTGTTCAATTGGCTAATTGATAGAGGTCACGGAGTATGATGTGTTTGCTTAGCTGTCTTTGAGACGACTGTGCTGCCCCTCCTCCTGGCTACCCATTTTATGCAAATGCAACATTAGGTAATCACAGAGCCTCCCACAAAAAAGGGCCGCCCAAATCCCTATGAATTTCCCACCAGGTACCTAGAGGGTCGAAAGGACGCGACCAGGTATTTCCCCAAAAGCAGTTCATTCATTCCCTAAAAGTGACCCAAAACTAATCGGTTCTCCTTACCTGAATAGGGATTCCAAGTCCCTAATCCGCCGGCTGACAATCTTCTCGGTCCATCCATTCCTCTCGAGGGTGTCATAAACCAGTTGTTCTTCTTCCCTCGACTGTTTACATGGCCGGCGATTTTCGGCGGAATTACCTGTTGTTGAAACCGTCTGGGATCTATATGCAGGATCTTTGTAATCTCTAATCCTGGCGCTCAATTCGGCCGGGCTGTCTGCCAGCACGCTATTGTTTCGGCTTTCTTTGTGGCACCTGAATAGCAGTTCCCTTTTGCCCCGATATCGATCCGAAAAACAAGCATTTATGACTTCAGCTTGGCCAGCTGAAAAAAGTGTCTCTGGGACGTCGGGCCGCTGGTACCAAATCCTAGAAACTCGGTAATTACTGAATGCTCCTTCTTCTGCTTTCTGGTTTCTCGTGTCTCCGGCATTATGTCGGATTTTTCGTTTCATTCAATGCCTTTTGTCCATTGATTTATGCAGTCAGAGAACGAATATGAAACTGGCTGGTTCTCACATTTCACCGTTCCTTCGCCTAAGCGGATTTATTTCAGGTGGGCTTGAGACCAGCCCTCAAGAAGACCCAGAGTCAATAAGCAGAAGCGGAGTGGGAGATGCTATTTGTTCGACTGAAGTATTACAGTGAAAGATTGTCGTATTGTTTGATTGTTTTCTTTTATTATATTGATCAATTTCCATCTGTTCAGGAACGGAAAGAATCGATTGCATGGTGTCCTCGAAGGTGTTTCCTCTTTTCTGGGGGAATGACCTTAGTGACCTTCCCTACCAGGAAGTGCTTTCAATTAAATGCTACATTGTATAATATTGAATCAACAGTTTGGTGGTTGGGAAAATACACTGAATCTTGGAGCATATGGGCGGAGATATGTTCAAGATTGGGAAATAGTGAAAATTAATCACATTCTTCTGAGAAAGAGGACCTGACACTCACAAATATTACAATGTACGTTACAATTCTGTTTCATAGCTAAAAGGGATATGATATGATTTTTCTGTTGATGGTGGACCGCGAGTATTTTAGTTTATAGAATGGGAGACAAAAGGGTCTACATCTTACCTTCGACTGCCTTAAAAGAAAGTTAACCTAAAATAATCAGTTTGGTGTCGACACAATATATAATTGTATACAAAATGCTGTAAAAAGAATAAAATCTATGAAAAACTAATCTTTCCAATATTTTTAAACAACAGAAAGTAATATATTCTATTCTGTATTACCCAACGTGTAACAATTACTTAATTTCATTGAATGTACTTAATAACTCGGTCGACATGCACATGTCGATTAGAATAATAATATAGTTTTTAGAAAACTGTAAACGTGTAGGAAATCGGTCAAAAGAACATATTAAAAGTATACTAGCTCCGCTCTAAAATATTCCGTTTTGTAAACTTAAATGTTTAATTTTCCATAATAAAAACGGCTCAGGAAAATATTGTTATTACTTGATAGTTATTATTTGGTTGATTTGAATAATTAGTTGATTTTAATGATATAGGTGCGTACTCCTTAATACGATCTCTCATCAAAATTAACCATATTAATTACTAAACATCCAATAAAAATAGGTAAGTCCAACGATTTTAAATTTTCAGCTATGATATTAAGACATATTACTATTAAAAATTATAGTTAACTCATGGACCTTAAAATTTAATTTAACCAAATATTTTTTGTTGATTTTATTATTATAAATTCAATATGCAGACATATAAAATGTGAATACAAATTTCGGTCCCAATACCACATACATCTCCACCGATTTTCTTATCGATTAAAACAATATATGGCACACAACTTAAACTGGAAAAGGCCAGAGAAAAGAAGATGAAACTGCGCAAGAAATCCCTCAGACGGACTAGGGCAGACACACACGTAACATTTCAGGAAAATCCCAATAAATTTCCATTCAATGGCCATTGTGACTAAGCAGCGGCTGGCACTTTCTGGAAGGTATCCCCGAGTACCCTGGACGAGAACTTAATGAGGCAGATTAGCGGTAAGCGAGATAAGATTCCAGATTCCGATGCGTCGAGGCAACTTGGCCATCATCAAAGAGTGGCAAGCGCAGGCGCTGGACGATCTCGAGGTAGAAGATTGTTCTTGAGAAATGCTGCAGGGAAAATTCCAGGAAAACCCGGACCGACCTGGGAGACACAAAAGAAGGTGCGAGCCCGCTGCAGCAAATGAAAAATTAATTACAAAGGACTTTCGGCTGTGCAGGTAGTCTGTTGCAGGTAGTGTAGGTGTTGCCGAAATCCTTTTTTCTCTACGACAATGCCAACCTTTTGTCAACGAAGATTTTCCCATAAACAAGGCGCACTCGACCTTAATGATAATTTCAGGTAGGACATCTGAGAGGCCGGGAGTATAAAAGCCAGGTTGCGCAGCAGCAGGAGCACAGTCGAGCCCTAACAGCCGTCGTGAAAACACCTAAGCAACAGATCAACTTAAGCAACCACATCTAAAGCAACACCAATTATGGCACCTTCGAATATGGATTACCAGAACGAGTCGGAGGTCAGCGAGAGTTATACGCACAAGAAGTTCAAGACCTCTGCTTATACGCACAAAAAGTTTGGAAAGAAGAGCGGCAAGGAGGTCGCCCCCACTGCCACAACCACGCCCCTTTTCCGTCCGTACGCCCTGGACGAGAATACACCGCGGAAACGGCGACAGGAGACAGAGCGGGAACTCCAGCAGCAGCAACATTTGCACCATTACCATTCACTGCCTCCCACGCCACCAACAACACCACCCCAGCAGCATCATCACCAATATCCGCCTCAGGCCACCCAAATTCCGGTGACCCAACATCCAGTCGCCCACTCACCCGTTTTCAATCACCAGGCCTACGCCTACATGCTACAGAAGCAACGGGCCGTGCTCCAGATGCGCCAACTGCTCAACATCAATCCCGATGCCAACACCTGGCCTCTGGAATGGCGACAGGCTCTCCAGGCGCTGCTTCAACAGTAAGCCCGCCCATGGAGCCTAATAGCCAGATTATACGATTTTAAACGGAGTGATTTGCCTAGCAACCAGTGATATAGACCTTTAAGTTACCGCCGACAGATTGTACATTATGAACGAAAGCGAAGCCCTAGCGTAATTGTACATACCATTAATTATAGACAAAATAAATCATTTTAAATCATACAATTAAATAGTATTGCTTGTTTTTGACTAGGAAACTTTGGATACTAAGGGAAAATTTTAAAAAACGAGCTCAGTTCTCTGAAGAAACATTAACATAAACATCATCAGCAATGTTAATGTTTTAAGATGGTTATCTCTAATATTATTTAGATGTAATGGATTAAAAAACCAATTTGGTGAATATAGTTGCGTATTTCCATTCCTTTTTATAAATCTAAAACAATTTTTCTACTTCAATTCGAACATTTACTGGCAAAGTTAATTAGGGGCATTGAACTTAAAACAATTTATAAGGGACAAATACATATACTTATATTTTACATAGAGTTATTGAAGCCAAGTCGGTCGAAGACAGAGCCAGATTGATCTCGTGGCTTGTTATGACCTGCATTCATGCTGTTATAGCGTCTTGGCGGAACATATTTCTTCTTCGGTGGCTCTGGCCTCTGTTGGCGGTGTGGAACTGCTGGAGGAGCTCTAACGGGGGCGGAATACGAGTTATTTCCTAGCCTCTTGTGGACGGGCAGCGTGTCCTGGCGGGTCATCAGCTCGTCGCTGCGCATACGTATGGTCTTGCCCTTTACCGGGCTGAGGCGAGCCTGTGGTTTCTTTGAGGGCGATGCCTTTAGGTTGTAGGTCTTCTTGGTGGCATGAAGTTTGGATACTAAAGATCAGATTAAATATTAATTGATTGCGGTTCAAAAGTTCTTGACTAAACATACCAATTCCTAGCCTCGATTTGATGTTGTTGGCAAAGTTTTTGCCATGCCTGTTTTTGAAAGACGACTCGGGTGCGATTTCTCGAACCTCTGCTGTGGAAGCAAACTTAACAATCTTTTCGGCGGCCCCCATTTCAAAGTCTTCGCTCTCTCCGCTGAATACCAATTCTTCCTCATCGCTTTCTAGATCGTCCATACTGTCGTCTTCATCGTCGCATCTTTTCAGAGGCACCTTGTGGACTAGCATAACCTTTTGCTGCGGCACAGTGGAGGCAGCCACCCTCTTGGCCTTGACAATGGGCGAGTTTTTGGTCACACCACTTACCACAGAACGTTGTGTATTCTTCAGGATCGACTTTATTTCCTTAGTTAGGGTGACATCACCGGAAAGAGTGGGCTGCTTGCCGCCGAGTCGGGCGAAAACCGAGTTGTTACCAGAGGTGTCCGCTGCTTTGGACACTCCTGTGATGTGTACGCGAACGCTGCTCTCGCCGGAGCTGGAGACAATGCCCTCCTGGGCCTCGTCCTCGCCAGTGGCAACGTGCAGACGGGCAAAGATGTCCGACTTCTTGGAGCTGCTCACGCGATCCGAGTACACTGAAAAGGTACCGGATGGTTTGGCATTTTTGTCTTGCAGTGGGGTTATCTTTCATCTTACGCTTCTCCCGCTTGGCCAGGATCTGTTTGCTGCGCTCCGTGGTTCCCGAGGGCAGAGTCACCTTGTATTTGCCCTCGTGCTCTGGGAGCACCCGTCTCGCCGGTTTTGCAGGCGGCGAAACCTTCGGTTTGGCGACCACCGGCGTCTTGACCTTTGGCGACGCCGGACGGGCAACTGGCTGGACCACCTCCGTGATCAGGACCTGATCCCGGGCGTTCTGCTCGCAGACTGTCTTCGAGTGCCGCAGGATGGCAATTATGTCACCCATCAGAGTGATGCCCATCTCCCTTAGATACTCCTTATTGAGGTCCAGCAGCATGTCGTCCTGGATGCGGTTCTCCACGAAGACGTGGGCGTAGCCGGCGGCAGCGGGAGATGGGATACCCGCCGCATTGAAGAACTTCACCCAGCGTGCTGTAAGTTACGGAATTAGATTCATTTATTATCCAAGCGATCTAGTCTCTATTTTTGTTTTGTGAGTGCACCCGGAAGCGTCTGCTCGGTTTGGGCGGTTTTTTTCAATGATGCCAACCCACCTGCGCTTGACTTTGACATTGTGCGTCTTTATGCTGCTAACGAGCACCTTTTTCCACACTATTCACTTAATATTTATCTATTTTATTCCCATAAATACAGTTTTTTTGCACTCGAAACTATTTATATATTTTAGGATTGCCACCTTGCGATGGGTTTATATCGTAAATCGATAACAACGATATTTATTGGTGTTGCGAAACGTAAACATTTCGCAACTGGGGTATTCTTGGTAATAATATCATAATATTAATTTGTATTTGTTCGCTTGCAGTGGCTTGTAAGTTATATACTTTTATAATATTAAAAAAAAAAGAAAACATGATAAAGAACATTTTGTAATTTTAACGACCAGAAGTGGTATAACTTTAACATGTACTCATAATGGTTACCTACTTGGGTACGTACCTAGCAGTGTTAAGTAACGTCTTTCTGCTACGCAAAAATTGTAAACAAAGCGCGCCGCACGTGTGACATTTATTTGTATTAAAGATAAATTAATTCCTGAAGCACCCAGAGATGGCTGGAAACTTTGAGCTGCTCAGTGAGCAGGGCCTGCGCCTGGACGGACGTCGTCCACACGAGCTGCGCCACATCAAGTGCAAACTGGGCGTCTTCGAGCAGCCCGATGGCAGTGCCTACATGGAACAGGGAAACACCAAGGTTCTGGCCGCAGTCTATGGACCGCACCAGGCCAAGGGCAAGAAGACGGAGTCCAACGACGTGATTATCAACTGCCAGTACAGCCAGGCAACGTTCTCCACGGCGGAGCGCAAGAATCGTCCACGCGGCGACCGCAAATCGCTGGAGTTCAAGATGTACCTGCAGCAGGCGCTAAGTGCGGCCATCAAATCGGAGCTGTATCCCCGCTCCCAGATAGACATCTACGTGGAAGTGCTCCAGGCCGACGGGGCCAACTACGCGGTGGCCCTGAACGCGGCCACGCTAGCGCTAATTGATGCAGGGATCTGCCTCAACGAATTCATCGTCGCCTGCACGGCTTCTCTGAGCAAGTCAAACATCCCACTCACCGACATCTCGCACTTCGAGGAGGTCTCCGGCGGTCCTAAGCTGACCGTAGCTGCCTTGCCCACCGCCGAGAAAATCGCCTTTCTGGAGATGAGCGAGCGGTTCCACATCGACCACTTGGAAACCGTCATCGAGACTGCCATGGCCGGATGCCGCGAAATCCGGGATATACTAGAGGCGGCGGTTAAGGAACACCTGGTGCACATGGGTAGTGCTGCCGATTGGGCGAGAGTTTGTTGAAATAAACTAGTGGTCTCCTTTCATAACTAAGTTTTTCTATTTTGCAAACGATGAGGGTAAACAAGGCTTATTTACTTTTAAAACGCAGGCATATAAATGTAGTAACAAACTAAAAGTAGCTCTAGTTCTTCTTAATGGCCTCTTCTGGTGGCTGCCACGTATCCAACAGCTCCTTCAGTCGCTCCTTTCGCTGCTCTAGTTGCAGCTTTTCGATGAGTCCACTCAGTTGTTCGCCTCCCTTGAGGAAACCGTCGAGGTTGTGTAGCGTGCCGCCCTGAATCCTGTGGTCCGTGATCCGATCCTGGACGAAATTGTATGTGCGAATCTTTTCGTTGCGGTTGAGACTTCCCTGTTGCGCTTTTTTGGTGGCCATTTTGCTGGCCTCGGCGCTCTCCAGTTGTTGTTGCACAAGTCGCGAGCGAAGACGCTTCATAGCCAGCTCCCGGTTCTTCAGCTGTGAGCGCTCCGATTGCGCTTCCACAGCCAGACCGGTGGGCAGATGGACAATCCGCACAGCAGAGTCGGTGGTGTTCACATGCTGGCCACCAGCTCCACTCGCCCGCTTCGTCTCGATCTTCAGATCCTTCTCGGCAATGTGCACTTGGATGTCGGCGGGCCGGGGAATCACGGTGATCGAGGCGGTGCTGGTGTGCATCCTTCCAGACTTCTCGGTGGCTGGAACCCGCTGCACCCGATGGACACCCGCCTCATAACGCAGCCAACGGAAGGCATCCTCGCCGCTCACCATCAGGCTGGCATGGCGCAGGCCACCTATGTCAGTGCTCTCGCTGGCAAACTCCTCCCACTCCCAGCCCATGTGCTCGAAGTAGCTGGTGTACATATCGTACAGCTCCTGTGCGAACAACATGGCCTCCTGGCCACCGGCGCCGGCATTCAGGCCGAAGATCAGTGCCGGATACACCTCGTCATCCGAAATGGCGAGCAGTTCCTGCAGCAAAGTCTGATCTTGCTTGCCCAGCAGATCCACATAGACTTCATTCTCCTCACGCATCAGTTGGCGCATATCCTCGTCCTTCTCCAGCTCCATGTCCTTGGCGCTGGTGATGTGGCGCTCTAGAACGCGTCGCTGCTCCAGGGCACTGACCACGCCCTCCAGCTGGGCAAGCCGGGCGTAGGAATTGCTGTTTCCGGCTGCATTTACCCGTACAGCGTAGTACTCCTGGCGCAGAGACTCCAGATACGCCTGTAGCTTCTCGTTATGGATGCTCAAGGGATCTGTGCTGGCCCAGCGGCGTGCCAAGTGTCCCAGACGGAAGTTTAGCAGTTTACGAGAAAGCATTTTATCAGGTTTTCATTGAAAACTCGGTAAAATAATATAAAAATAATTAAATAACAACAAGAGGTGGACAAACTCTGATAGTTTATATCGATAGTACATAAATAATTTTATAAGTATTCGACAGGTGCATAAAAACATCGATAGAGTTACACCTCTGGCAACATCGATAGTCCCCAAAAACATCGATTTTATTTCCAGCTCAGCTACATACAAAAGTGCAGTGCATTGAAAAGTTTAAGAAATATGCCAGTTTAGATTGTAAATATAAAGCTCTCTGTTTAGCCTCAATGGAAAAAACACAGCGAAGAGAAAATTCGGTTGTTTCTGTGAAATGTTAATCTGTTTGGCCGCTGGCTTTGTGTTGCGGGTTGGGTGTGTGTGTGTGTTCGCCTTCTGATTGGAGGAAAATGAACGGACAACAACAACATCAACGGGTGAAGTGTACGCAGAGTGCAGCAATTAAGTTTAATTAAGCCAAACAATTGAATGTGAAGAGGCTGAGCCGTGCTGTTGCCCCCGAAAAGTGCATTTACTAAGGCGAGACTCGAGATCCGAGATCCCCTCTCCTGGAACTAAAACACACAAATACAGACGACGAAATGCCACCGTTGAAAACGTACCAGATACACCACCACGAATACAATGGCAATCCCAGTCCGAATGCGAATGCCAATCAGAACGCCAATCAGAGTCCCACTAGCAGCGATGGCGACTTCTTTGGCCAAAATCTGGGCTCGGGCGCCACGGCGGCCAGCCAACGCACAAATCTGCCCTCCTACTGCAACGCCCAGTATCCCTTTAAGGTGCTATCCAATCTCAACCAGCTGCGCGAGCAATCGCGCTTCTGCGACGTGGAGATCATCGCCGGAATGGCCACACTGAGTGCCCACAGGGCGGTCCTGAGTGCGGCCAGTGCCTACTTCGAGGCCATGTTCCGACCCGAACTGGGGCTAAACGAGGTCAAGCAGAAGTCGGTGGTGCTGCACACAATCGACGGCGACATCCTGCACATCCTGCTCGACTTCATCTACACGGGTCGCTGCGAAATCACCCAGGTGCGTCTGGATCTGAATATCTTCTTCCCGATTCCTAATCCCTAAGATACCGTTCCCACAGTCTAATGTCCAGGAACTGCTCGCCGCCGCCGACATGCTGCAGCTGAACGAGGTGGTGGATGGTTGCTGCGAGTTCCTCTGCCGCGAGTTGCACGCCTCCAATGCACTGGGCATTTTACGCTTCGCGGAAGCCCACAACTGCGAGTCGTTGGCCAAGAGTGCACTGAACTTTGTCCACGCCAATTTCCCAGCGGTGAGTTGGAGGCACTTGAAAGGTTTAACTTAACTGTTCCCCCTAAAGAAAGAGATGGTATTTGTTTAAATCATACAGGCCTATTAGGCCATATAGAACGTTTACCTATATTTACATGGTTAGAAAACATAAATTCCCCAATAAAGAACTTATAAAAAGTAAACCTATTTATAAATATAATATTAGTCACAAAAGAAATTATAATCTACATATTTGTAACTTTTAGATTATTCAATTGCACTATGTAACCCTTAAAGATGAGTAAGAAAATGTAGTTGAAGGTTATTATTATTAGCTTTTAAATTCTCCTTTTTTCTTTTTTAGTGTAAAATTACTTTAATTTTTACCCAAAATATCTGTACATCTTAATTAATTTTCTTTATCCTTCTCCTATCAGATAACGCTGGAGGATGAGTTCCTAGAAACGCCACAGACTCTGCTCTCGCAGCTCCTGAACTCGGAGCTGCTGCGTGTGGACTCCGAATCTCAGGTGTTCCAGGCGGCTCTTCGCTGGATTAAGCACGATGTGACGCAGCGCCGTTGCTACGTTTTCGACGTGCTGTCCCATGTGCGCATGGCCCTTGTTCCGGTAAAGGTGATCGACAAGGCTCTGAAGGACGACTGTCGCGACATGTCCGTGAAGATTGCCCTGCGCTCCATTTGCCGGGACATTGCGTCAAAGCGCGGACAACTGGTGCCGCTGCGTGTCTGTCCTCGCCAACTGGCCAAGAAGAACATCTATATCATTGGCGGATCTCACCGGGACACGCCGCGCACCTGGAACTCGGCCGACTGCATCTTCGAGACGGTGGCCAAGTTCGATATATTCCGACGTGAGTGGACGGAGACGGCGCCCATGGAGGTGGGGCGCATCCTGCCGGGCGTGTCGGCATTGAATGGCAAGATCTATGTGGTCGGCGGCGAGCGCGGCTCACAGATTCTGGCCAATGGCGAGGTCTACGACCCACAGAACGACGTTTGGCAACCGATTGCCCCTATGATTGTGCCGCGCTGCGAGTTCGGCCTCTGCACCATGGGCGGCAATCTGTTCGCCGTGGGCGGATGGATAGGCGACGACATCGGCGGTTCCATGGAGTGCTATGATCCAGAGCAGGATCTCTGGAAATTGATGGGCAGCATGCCGCAACCCCGATTCAGTATGGGAGTGGTTAGTTTCGAGGGTCTCATCTACATTGTAGGAGGCTGCACAACTACAACCCGGCACTTACCGGATCTGATTAGGTACTAAGCGAACCAATCTCCTCCTATATGATATAACTTTAAGTTTAACATCAATTGCAGTTATAATCCCGTGACCAAAGAGTGGACCGAGCTGGCTCGCATGCAAACAGCCCGTTGCCAAATGGGCGTGGCCGTTCTGGATCGCTACTTGTATGTGGTTGGAGGCAGTAGTATCAGCCAGGACATTCTCAGCTCCGTCGAAAGGTATAGCTTCGACGAGGACAAATGGACAACTGTTTGTGCATTAAACGTGCCCAGAGCCATTCCTGCCGTGGCCGCTGCCGATGGACTACTTTATGTAGCTGGCGGTGATCAGGTAAGAATGATCATTTTTAAGTGCGCTCTGATGAAAGAAAATGCTACTGTTACCTTCGCTCTTGCAGCCCTGTGAGGTAAACTTCTACCGAGCCCAAGTGACTATCAATGCTGTTGAATGCTATGATCCGCTCTCGGACACCTGGAAAAATTGCCCCGATCTACCAGTTAGCCGCTCGGAGGCTGGGGCAGTGGTTGTTTAAGACCTGAACTGGTTCGAAATGGTCAAACACAAAATCTGTCGTCGTTTTAAGCATTACCCACACGAAAAACACTCTTTAACTGTAGCTCTATGGCATTGTATACGTTACACACATCACAAATCTCTTCCCTTTTTTCGATTTAATTGAACATAGTGGTCTCTCGCCAAAGATATGTAAGCGCATTGTTACGGTTGATGTTGTTTGTGGAGCATAGCGCAGCTATTCACCAGTTAGTACACATGCTAATAGTTAGCCACGAAGGAGACAGCCAGCCTCAGATTGTTCCGCAGTTGCAGTTGTCCTTTATGAAAGCGAAACCAAACACCGAAAACTTAGCATTCACTTTGGAAAAAGTATATTAACGTATCGTAATTGCTGAACATTATTTGAATTGATTATTTGTATACTTTCAAATTGTCTATTTACTTTTATTGTTGAATGCGGAACGGAGTGTTAGGAACAATGATTGAGGCGCCCTTGAGAAGAGCGTATCTCCACAGAACTTTGCGATTGTATGGATTTAAGGGGCGTTTCCTCATCTCCATGTTGAATACATTTTAGCCCAACAGTATTGCAATATTTTCCGCACACCTATGCCTTTCTAACTCGTATAAGCAACCATCCATATAATATACTTGTTTGTTGTCGAGATGTAATTTCAATAAAGTTCCTTTTTACCAAATTTTCATTGTCGTAAATAGGAACCTATGCCTTCAAGGCGACTTTTTTTTTATATTCAATAAGAAATGTTTAGCATGAAGATGATTAAAAGTCCCTAACTAAAAGTACTAAAGCAAATTAATACAAACAATCAAAAAAAAAAAAGCGAACTGTATTCATAATAGGTGTATTATCGAAATAAATATACGAATTATTAACTAACAACTCAAATACCGTCTTTTTCTCGTGGCAACAACTAATTTTGTCATATTTTTTAAGAAACCAAATAATGAGTTTTAAAACCACATTATGGTGATCTGGTCTTAAATGCTTCTCAAAATCAAAGAACATTATTTAATATAATCAGTTCATCTTAACCCTTATAGTTAAAGATTGTAATATTTATTATTCAGTTGGGCCGAAATCCCGGCGGTACTGCAATACCGGGCCAACCCGCGACAGAGGTGGAGCAAGCTCCTAGCACTCCGTCTGATTCCAAAAATCAGTTTAACATTTGTTGTCCTCCAATGGAGGAACTATCAGATGTTAAGCTGATAAGAACAGATACTACACTTTGATCTTAGCCATAAGGCCGAGAAGCGATAACTAGAAACGGGAAATTGACAGGGTCTCCATGAGCTGACGGCTAGAACCGGTTGGGAATTATGCGGACGCGCACACGAAAATATTCAACGGAGACGTTGTTCAGTTACAGTAGTCTGCTTTTAGGGGTAGTTGTTTTGTTTTCTGTAAATCGCATGGAAGGCAGCCGCTTTTTCTTATTTTACAAAGGACTGTGATAAATCAACTTCATGGTAAAAGGTATACAATTAACAACACCTAATCTCCTTAATTTTATTTTAATGTGTTAAATAATGAAGGCAGTTTTCATTTGGCTTGGTAAAGTCAGTATGGTTTTCTTTTCAAAGAGATACCAAAATCGGTATGTCTTGAAGTTGTTTCAGGATTCTATAACAACAAAAATAAAATATACCAGATCCAATACCGGCTACTAAGTAATTATATACAGATAGCAATGAAATAAAAAGAAATCAATGCTTTCGACTTGACATTTTCATTCTGCTGCTTTAATTATTTACCAACTGTTTCGGCCAAAAATAGAATAAAACTTAATACAAATATTAAAAAGAACAAAAACACAATGTTAATTTACATAAAAAAAGAGCAAAAAGTAGGACGTCTACTTGACATGCGCCAATGTAAGTATCACTGTTAGCACTCTGGTAAATGGGGCAGTACAAAAATAGGAAAACAGTTGATATTCGTTGTCCGTTCGCCGAGGTCTTTGGATGATTTTCTTTGACTAAAACTGGAGGCGTGGCGGTAAAGTACATTTACGTTGTTTTTCAATATCTGGTAAGCCAACAAAGTGCAGTTTTTCTTGTGCCATGGCCAGTGTCACAGCTCTACACTCAATTTATCAATGTTTATATTCGATACATGATGCAAAGAAAACAGGGAAAGTGGCCTTGAAATTGCAGTTCCCTTGGCTGGGGTAAAGCACGCCATGGGAATTTCATTTCAAATAAGTATAGGGCCAAACTCTGCTTAAAATTGATTTGTTTTTAAATAAAATATGATTATGAAAAACAATAATAAAAAAATTTTCTGTGTATTTTATAGGATGGATTTAGCCGTTTTAATGCGAGACGGACACTTTAATGATTCCGGACATTGGACGTGAAGATTAGTTAAAGAAAATAGTTTAAATGTGCATCAAACAATAACCCAGAAAACCTGGGATGAGCTAGACGTTCCTCTCCTTAAACAATCTCAATGGATCCATGTAGTCTTTCCTGTACGCACCTGTCGTTATTCCTATTAAAGCTATACTGTTTGGTATTCCTTCTTCAAAGCGCCAGTGCTGACTGGCTGATGGATTGTGGAGACTGTCACTGCAAATGGAACTCTGGAAAAAAGACAGCCGATTGTCGCAATTTGAGTCTGAGTGGAATACCAGAGTACCTCAGTCCGGAGGTTCAAGTCCTGGACTTGTCACACAACCACATTTTTTACCTGGAGGAGAATGCATTTTCGACCACCCACTTGCAAAATCTACAGAAGCTTCTGATACGCAATGGCACTCTAAAACGCATCAACCACAAAAGTTTTACCCAACTGCAGATCTTAATTGAACTGGACTTGTCCAATAATCTGCTGCAGGATCTGATACCCAGTGTTTTTGACTGCCTGTCGAAAGTGCGGGCAATATTACTGAATGGCAACCTGATACAAACACTACGCCAAGGGGTCTTTCGAAATCTCAAGTATCTGCACAAGATCGAGATGAAGCGCAACCGCCTGGTTAGTATCGATACCCAGGCATTTGTGGGTGTACCCCTTCTATCACAGATCTATCTGGACAATAATGAGCTAACTAAACTGAGGGTGGACAGCTTTCAAGGCTTAAGTAAACTTACAGCACTATCGCTGGCCGAGAATCCGTGGAATTGCACTTGCGATCTTCAGATGTTCCGTGACTTCGTAATAGGTATGAACCTGTATACCCCGCCCACAGCGTGCCATTATCCTTTGCAGTTGCGAGGTCGTCTGTGGATCGAGGATCAACCAGAGGCCTTCGCCTGCAAGCCGAAGATAGTATATCCTGCCCTGGGGACTTCCATTAACACATCCAAAGAGAATGTAACGCTTATATGCCGGGTGCAAGGATCTCCAAATACTGTCATTGCCTGGGACTACAATAATCAAGTATACGAATCTCGTTCCAAGGTGGTGAAAGGTCTTCAAAAGCAAAGAGTTTATATCGAAATGTTGAGGGAAAATGAACCAAAGGTTCAAAATTTCGGACACGATGTTTTCGTCTCACGTCTTACCATTGTAAATGCCAGGAAGAGCGATGAGGGCGTCTATACATGTCTAGCTGAGAATCCTGGAGGCAAAGATTCTGTTCACATCAGTGTGGTGGTACAAAAGGACTTACAACGCATTCCGCTCATCGACACCAACTTCTTTGCCATAGTCTGCCTTATAGCTATGGGTTTTCTCAGTATGTCGATCCTATTGTCTTTGGTGACATGCCTGATTTTCAAGCGCTTCAAACAGTTTCATCCTAGTCAGCATACTTATTTGCAACCTACCAATTTTTCCGCTCAGCAACTTGAAAGGGAAGAAGGGATCAGCGCCTTAAGCTCAGGAGTTGTTCAAGGAGGAAAGATTGTATTGGATCCATTAAGTGCGGCTAATGGAACATCATGTTCAAATTATATGTTATTCAATGGCAACGAATCGAACCCAGAGAATTCCCTATCAAAGAGAAAACCTGATGACGTGAGATTAAATACAAATAGTTATTTTGGATATATTGACAATCAGACAGGCCCTACATCATCGCGGAATCAAGGTTTTTTTTCAGAAAATTCTGGTGTACAAAACAATGAAGAGATCAAACAGAAAGGTGAGAAAATACAATACGACCGTCCCTAATTGTGTTATAACACCGTTTCATTACTCAGATAAGCTCGACGAAATTCCCCAACGTTTTGATCTTAAGAGATCGTCGCATTCCAATGGCGGCTTAAAGAAAAACGGACAATACGAAGAACATCAACCGGACCTATTGCCTTCCAATGAATCCACTGCCTTTAAGAACCAAGAAGAACCCATGGTTCGACCTTCAAAAAAAGAAGTAATTAACCCCCGCAGCAGGTATAATACCAACGTGCAAAAGTACCTTAAGGAGAAGTACGGCAGCGTTCGAACAAATAATAAAAACACGAATAAGGACATTAGTGGTAAGAACCTCTCAAGAACGGAATATAACTATTAGCTACAAAATTTGTTGTTACCCAGCTGATATGGTCAAACCACCAATAACTGCCAGACCGCCGTAACCTCCGATGCCATTCAAGAGTGGTCTGTCCCCCAGGATTTCAAATCTTTATCACCATCGTCAACCCTACCTCTCTAAATCCTCCAAAAGAAAAGAGGACGCAGAAGAAATACATCCTTGAAATGAAATCAAGATGAAATGTACCTCGCCTTATTTCTAGTAGTAAATTATGTACTTTTAACCTTTTAATATAAGACTATTTATTTACACAGTTCTAAGTGTTTTATCCCACACACTTTAAGTGAAATAATAAAGTTTTAAGTGATGCCTTTTAGTTATAATGGATGATTTCTTACAAACATTCGTATGTTTGACAATAATTTTCATTTTAGGGTGACTACATTATTTTTGATGTTAAGGTGCAGGGAATCCTGGTATTATTATTACCTGAGGGATTCCATCAAAGCAGTCAGGTAAACGTAAACTGCAATATTACTAAGCAAACCTAAATGTCTACGCATGTGCATCCCTATAATTCCCAACTGGTTCTAGCCGTCAGCTCATGGGTAGCCGTTCAATTTGTTTTTCTAGTTATCGCTTCTCGGCCTTATGGCTAAGATCAAAGTGTAGTATCTGTTCTTATCAGCTTAACATCTGATAGTTCCTCCATTGGAGGACAACAAATGTTAAACTGATTTTTGGAATCAGACGGAGTGCTAGGAGCTTGCTCCACCTCTGTCGCGGGTTGGCCCGGTATTGCAGTACCGCCGGGATTTCGGCCCAACTGAATAATAAATTTGGTATTAGAAAATAAAATTAACCAACTTGGAGTAGTTACTCTATAGTTTCTTAAGCAGAGCTTTTTTTAAAATAGTAGTATTTTGATATTTGCCAGTGTCAGTTTTTAGGTCCGCATCAAAATTATGTCGTGTGAATAAGCCTGATAATCAAGAAACATGTCTGCACCTTCCTCCTCTGGAACCATCCAGGCCAGGAGTACCCCTAAGGCTCCTCTAGCTGCTCCAACCGATGCGATGTCTCGGAGTCAAAAACGGCAGCAGAAGCGGAAGCAGCGCCTTCATGAAATGCAAAGTCTGCTGTACACAAAGCACTTCTCCAACTGCCGGCTGCCTGTGTCGGTGGCCTCTTCTTCCGATGAGCAGCTGCTCCAATTGAAGCGCTTTGGTTCGCTGACCGAGCCGCCCAGCAGCAGAAGGAACCCACTCTTTGTAATCCCGTCAAACGATTCGCCATGGGCCCGGATGCGCCTGGTGGCTTGTCCATGCCACGGATGCCACTGCTCCGTAGAGCCCAGCGCTTTGTTGGGCCACTATTTGAGCGACCATCTGCCGGGCTTGGGAGTTCCGTTCTTCGAACTAGATATGGGCCAGAAGGTATCGCTAACCTGCCACATCAGCAGTATGGAACGTGATGTTAACACGCTGCTGGGAGTCTATGGTTACCGGCGGACAGGCCTCAATCCCCTCAAATGCCACCGGAACACTCATTTGCCGGCGGAATACCGCCACTTCTCCCAGCACAGCGCCCTCATGATCTTCGGCTGCCGCACCGCACACTCGGTGCTGTGGGAAAAGAAGCGAGTCAAGCACGAGGTCCTGGCTATCTGGGTGACAACTCCGTTGCAGGGAGTGGCCATCACATTGCGTCTGCTGGTCCAGCCGGCCAAATCGCCACGCTACTACTCCAAGCAGATCAAGGCGCGTCCCATCCTGCCGTGGACGGCGAACCAACCCTGCAGCGAGTTCATCAAGACAGACAGCAATGTGATCCTCATCAGCTTCGAGGATCTGCGACAATTAATGGATCTGGATATTTGGCAGCAGATGCTAACCGTCGAACTAAAGGTAGTCAGCGAGGCCAGAATTTAATAAAATAAAAACAAGTTGGAGTTTGAATTATTTTTGGCCATGTATTTAAGTCTAAGATTAAACATTGAAACATAAAACTTGAACTTGCACTAATTATATGCATTAATAAATAAGGACAAAGTATCGGAGATTACATTTGATAAAAGCAGCTATTTCCTTATCCAGACATCCTACTTGCGTTACATTGCTTTATATATATACAATTCATACAAGGCGCTTACTTGCCAACCGTTTGGATAACATGTCAGTTTTATCTTTGCTATTCGCCTTACATATATTTCGTACAATTTTGTAAAGTCTCATTTCAATCATGACTTGGGGAGTTTGTTTCACAACACTTACAACATACAAGTAGAATTTACAAATTTTGAGCTTACATACATAAAATTTAGATTTTAAATATGCTATATTAAGGTATTACAAATATATATATGTATATCATTAAGGCTTGTTAAGAGCCGCCTGTGCGACCCGCAGCTATTCATAAATTGTACTAGAAAACGAGCGAGCGGTACGCTGGGTCCGGGCCTTTTTACAAACTTTGTGGCTGCACGGCATCTCGGGCAACGTCGCATCGCCTTTAACGCAACATAACAAAAGCGCCACAGAAGAGACGAGAGACGATAGAACTGAACAAAACAAACTAAAAGAATGCAACTAAAACATATAAAACATCTGTCTAGTGTGAGTAGCCGGAATCAGGTTCCGGCTAGCCCGCCTTTTGGGTTTGCTTTTGGCGTTGGAGGGCCTCGAAGGCCTCGATTTCCTTTTTTTCTTTGGCCTGGTTGCGACGCTCATATTCAAGTCGGTGAGAGATAATGCGCTCCACGATCCGCTCGGTGGTCATCTCGTTGCCGGAATCGATCAGCTCGAAGATGGCTCTTGTCTTGGGCACGGCATACGGATCGATCTTGCCATTCTCCAGCGCAATGGGTGTGCGTCCGTGGCAGACAACATCGATTTTGAAGTGTTCGAGCAGCTCCTCAGTGACGCAGTAGGGAGCCCCAATCACAACTTCGTTGACAAACTGTGCAGGAGAAGATTAGTATTAGGAAGAGGCACAATTGATATATTTTCACTTGAATATATTACCTTGCAGGCCAAAACGCTGAGCACCCGCTCGTGCAGATTCATAATTGGGTAGTTGCTGCCCTTGTAGGAGTTGACCACGGGATCTGTGTGCAGGCCGACAATGAGGTAGTCGCCCAGTTTTCTCGCCTTTTCCAGAAAGTCCAGGTGACCCACATGGAACAGATCGAAGGCACCAGCAACATATACCTTAAAATCACATATTTATGGTCAGTTTTATATACATTTAAAGCAACTAGCATTCAACTTACAATCTTATCTCCTGGATTCGGTGACTTTCCATCGCTGAACTGTATGATCTTTTGGGTTGTTGGCAAGAACTGACTGCAGCCGGTCCATGGACTTTTGGCTGCCGAATCTTGACCCATGTTCGAGGAACCTGGATGGGATTTTATTTGTCGTTTTAAAATTGTCACTGTTTTTCGTATTCGTAGTGTAAAGCAACGTAGACAAATGAGCAGGTGTGTATTAATTAAAGAGCGAAATTTACGTTTAGGATTTGATTTCGATTTGGATTCGGATTTGGATATTTTGATTGCAGGTTGGCGTTGGGTTTGGCATTTTGGATTCATTTCGCGGGCGCGCACACGCACAAGGCATTTGGCATATTGAGGTTTTAGCATATTTTTCATAGGTTTCATACATTATATTATATTTTGGTTAGTGGTAAACAGTGCGTACATAGAAATAAAAAGAAGAGAAATAGTAAAGTTGTAGAGAGCAACATAAACCAAGAAGTTATTGACGTTCAACTATGGCAAATCAAAGGTTAAACGCTCGGAAACGAATCAAGTAAAGTAAAAGCGTAAACTGACGTGCGTGGCCCAGTACAAACTAAGTATACATTACATTGTTCTTACTTAGAACTGATTGATCGACTTGAGTTTTATGCACGGCATGCAAGAGCAATATACGAGATTAACAGAAAGAGATGAAAGACAGCGAGAGTGCAAGAAAAATTATCTTATAATTAAAGTTAGTATTTGTTAATTATTAGATACTAAGAAATAAAAACTATTAATGGCGCACAAAACAGGAATTGTGCTCGCTGTGATATAGGAACATTAAAATGAAACTTGCAACAAAAGCTTTGAAATAAGCTGAAGCTATACCTTCTTTTTCGATATCATATTCGGCAGATCCTTGACGGAAGTGGTTGCGTGTCAGGAGCAACATGCGACCCACAAGGTCGGTGGTCGAAACTCCGGCAGTACGTTTTACTTCCCTGCAAGTAAAAATTAAATGTTAATTATTGGAAAATTGCTGTGGTCATTAGGCAGCTGGCAAAAAAGGTATATCAAGTGGGCCTTTCGAATTGCCTACTACCTGGAAAATCTTGGATACTCACTTATAGCGATTGGCTGACTTGACCAAATGATATGTGTCCACTCCTTCGGCTGTCATTGTAATATCATCTGCAAGAAAAAACATTTAAATAACTTATCCAAATATGAGGAGTAATTGTACCTACCGCCGTGAACACAGAAATCACAGTTGTTCTGGTCGAGCACCTCCAATGTGGTCACGTAAGGAGCACCGAGCACCACCTCGTCCACCCATTTGATGCCCTTGACCATCTTGACGCGCTCCTCCTCGGTGAAGACAGGTGGTCCCTTGTGCTTGGTGATCTCCTCGTCTGTGTGAATTCCCACAATTACTTTATCGCCAAGTGCTTTGGCTTGTCGCAGGGAGTTGGCATGTCCAAAGTGAACCATATCATAGCTGTTCGAGAAGATAGGAAATATAATTACTAAAATTGACGAACATAACGGATACAAAGGTTTTTAACAAATATGGAAAATTACTAGTGTTGTCAGATGATGCCAATAGATACAAAGGTTTTTTATCAAAAGCGTGCCAAAAACAAGGTTAATTTGTTGCCCTTATCGATACATGACCGGGGTTGTTGCCACCGGAAATGTGTTCTCCCATCCGGGGAAGTTGAACCATTTCTAATAAGAGCAGTCAGCATGCACCATTGACCTTGACGTTTAGCTGATGAAAACGACCTTGTTTCAGCGAATATGACTCAGAAAATGGCATATATTTCCTAAATTTAGCAAGATAAGCGCTGTTTAAAGCCGTGCCTTGTTCAGAAAATAATTATCGCTTGGAATGTACAATGGAAAATCTCCTAAATTGAGGGCACAGCAAGTGACGGTTCCATCCAATACGAAAGAAATTTAAGGTAAGCATTTCTTTACGGTTAGCTGGAATCCTGATAATTAGTTAATGGTGGAAACCAGGTAGCTCCCGGTAAAACCTTTGCCTGAGTACTACCTCCTATGACCCA